TTGGTTTACTCGTCTGATTTGTTGGGTGGTATTTCCATATACGAGTTCAGTTCGGCAAGGGGAATGTTCAGATATCATGTTGGTTTAATGTTCAGATTGGTATATTTCTAGATTATCCCCCCACCCAGCAGAAATTTATACAGTTATTAGGGTGTTATTTTTATCTGAAATTCTTTATGTCACTTCTTTGTTCTACGGAATGGATGCAAATAGGATGCCGCGGCATTAATTTACCGTTTATTGTGAAGATAAGCACATAAAACTTTCGACACATATAAGAAAAACTTCAAAGTTTCATCACTGTTTCCTTCTACAGTACATTATTTGTTACAGCTGTTATCTGGTTATCTTGTGTGTTCCACCCTGAACGTAAATTTTTTGTTAGTCCAGCGCCTGCAGAGCCTCGAGGTTCCCCAAGTTGTGCAGCTGATGGAGGATCTCCCGGAGCCACTGCTTGCAGATATCATCAAGAGGATTACCGTGTCGAGTGATCTAAATTCTCTTTGCCTCGTGTCAAAGCGGCTCTGTGCCGTCGAGGCGGAGCATAGGGGTGCTATCCGTGTTGGCTGTGGCGTTGACCCTACAACGGAAGCCTTGACATCACTGTTCTCCCGGTTCTCCAATTTGTGGAAAGTGGAGATCAATTACTCTGGTTGGACGCCCAGTCATGGGGACCAGGTGAACAACCAAGGCATCCTTGTTCTATCGCATCATTGCCCCTTGCTGTCTGATCTCACCTTAAGCTTCTGTGCACACATTGATGATGCTGGTCTTAGTTATCTAGCTTACTGCAAAAAGTTGAGGTCCCTCAGGCTGAGCTTTGCACCAGCAATAACTTCTACTGGGATTTTCCGGGTGGCCGTTAGTTGCTGCCATCTCTCTGTTCTCCACCTTGTTGACTGTATAGCAATAGAGAGCGTGGAGTGGCTGGACTATCTTGGGAGATATGGATCATTAGGGGAACTTGTTCTAAAGGATTGTGATGGAATCAGTCAGTATGACCTCCTAAAATTTGGTCCAGGATGGAGGAAGCTCCAAAGGTTTGAGTTTGAGATTAATGGAACTTACTGGCTGAGTCAGCGCCCTGATCCCTCATACGTGGTTGGCTACCCATATAGCTATGACATTTGCTGTGATAATTTGAAGGATCTTAGGTTGGCTCATATTGTAACTAAGCCGGAAATTGGACTCCGTTTTCTCCTGGGGAAGTGCAAAGCATTGGAGACACTTTACCTGGAGTATGTTATTGGTCTAAATGAGGATGAGATGATTGCACTATTCCAGAGGTGCTGCAACCTTAAAACCATTTCACTTCGGCTCATGCCTCTGCGCTGTGAAGATCATTGGTTTAGGACGGCATTGACTGATGACAGCCTAGAGGTCCTAGCTCTAAGCTTCCCTATGCTTCAGGTTGTTGAGCTCACTTTCACATTTTGTGAACCCTCTTATCCTACTGAAATAGGCTTCACACAGAAGGGTATTCTGACGCTTATCCAATCATGTCCGATTCGTGCTCTTGTGCTAAATGGTGCCAGCATATTTGATGACGAGGGGATGAAGGGCCTGTCATCCACACAGTTCCTGGAGAAGCTCGATCTCGTGGATTGCTGCTCTATATCTGATGCTGGGATGTACCTCATTGCTCAGGCTCCTTGTTTGAGTCACCTCACACTCCGGGAATGTAGTAGCGTGACAGATGATGGGTTGGCTGCATTGGCACGTTCACAGAAGTTGGAGTCACTGACCGTTATAGGCTGCCGCTGGATCTCTGAGGAGGGTGTGCAGGGTGCTGCCAAATCAGTTTGCTACTCATCGGAGACTGAAAGCCATGACAGCCTAAAAGGAATGAACGTGTACAGGAAAATACGACAGTCGCCCTGAATTCAGTCTTTGGCTGTTAATTTGTGTTGCTATATGTTGGCAGAACTTTGAAACCACAACAGTATGAAAGTAACTCGAAGGATAATCGTACCTGCCATTTCCTTCTGGCAAGTTCCAATTGGCTTCAGATGTTCTAGACTTGTTTTGGCAGTGTGAGATTCGTTTTAGAAATGTGCCAGAATTCGTGATTATGGCTTGCCAATCGTTTGTGCCGGTTCTGGTCTTTTGTGTGTTTGTTGCGCGGCACCTCCTCCATTGATTCTCCATGTGCAGCGCCTGATATGCGATTCCTGCCATAGCAATAGTGCGTATGATCTATGTGAGTACATTGTAGTGATTCTTGCTGACAGTAATCACTAATCAGTGGGCATTTGGGGCACTTGCCTGAGCATATCATGTTTTTTTTCTTCGTACACCTCAGCTCAATCCTGGTATGATGCATTGTTCATCACATCCACCGAGGAAGAGTTTTCGATAATTCTTTTATTGTAGCTATCTGAAAGGTGTCCTTCATCTGTTTGAGATCTCCAAACATGGTACCCTTTTATTTTTATATCCTCGGTGTTTTAAATTTCAAAAGAATTATCAGGTTCTTTTGGTTGCTTGTGCAATATTTAAGGTTCAGGCGTAATTGAGCACATTAAACCTGGAGATGAGATCTGCTAACTATTGTTTTAAAGCAGTTTATGCTAAAGATAGGAATTTTCTGAACTTATCAACTCAACACATGTTCACACATGAAACAAATGCCATTTTACTACACTGAACACTCATGGTAATATTCCATCGTTACACTAAAGAAGGCAAGATCTATGTAAAATGGCAGATAAAACATATACATTGTTGCATCACAGCCAAGACGATGCTGCTGTCGACATTGATCTGTCATCGGATGGCTGAAACTACTCAACGGGTCGCTATTTGAATTTCCTTTACAGCCAGCTTTCTGCTTTTGTTTTTCTGCTTTATTAGTGATGTAATGGCTGCAAGAGCCAAGACTTCGGGTTGCTAGATGCATCCGGTCTTGTACCAGGTTAAAATCCTAGCGGCCATGTTCGGGCTGGCCCTCTTATGCGTATCTGAAAGCCATAAAACCCTAGCTAGAGTCACAATTTTCCTGTCCAAAAATCGCTGGCGAACAGCTGTGAGATGGTCAGTTAACTCTGAACCTGACACATCAGGCGTTACATAGAACCAGTGAGCCGCCGGCTACGTGTGAAAGACGGTGAAGGGAATACTTAAACATGTGAATGTTTTTTTTCCTAAATACATGCTGAATTTTTATTAAATACATGTTGAAAATTTTCTAGATACATGTTGTACATTTTTTAGATACATGTTGTACATTTTTAAAATACATGTTAAATATTTACCCAAATATGTGTTAAACATTTGTAAAATGCACACTGAATATATTTTTAAATAAATGTTGAATTTTTTGGGTACAAAGTGACCATTTTGAAACACCCACTGAATAATTTTCAACAATTTCATGAATTCTTTTAAACGTGTATGAATATTTAAGAAAATTATGCCATTGTTTAAACATTTTCATGAACATACAATTTTTTAAACGGAAATTTTTTATATGGTATGAACAGTTTTAGAAATTTCACGAACTTTTTAATGTGCGGTGATTTTTTTTAAAACTAAGTAAATTAAATTTGATTATATATATAGAATATTTTAAAATATAAAAAGGTAAAAACAAATTGAAAAAACGAAAATGGTCTGACACACAATAGTCGTCCATCTATTTCGTTAGATGCGAAACATAGATGCTCCCGACAAATTGACTTACTAGCACACATTTCGATCACTAACTCCCCAATGGAATATGGGCCTCATCATCAAGTCGGGCCAAGCTCAAGCTCGCTTTGCTGCTGCTGCTGCATATTTACTCATGTCGCGAGGAAGGTGACAGTTTTGCTATCGACCACTCGACCTTGACGCAGAGGTTTCCCCAACCATTCCTTCCAACCTTTGGTCGCCGTCGTTGCCGCCCAGCTCTCCCCTTCGGGTCGGCGCCTCCTCTCCTGGTTCGTCAGCTCCTCCTAGGTACGTACTTGGGTCTATTTCCTTCCCTTCTCGAGCAACATTGGTTGAGCCCGATTGAGGCGATGTTGATTCTTCCACTTGAGCTTTGTCGATTCTTAAAAAGTTAAATGAAGGCAATACCGAATTCACTCAGGCACACATTCCGATCACACGTACTACGTGCGATGCTTTTTTTCCTTTTTCATTAGAGTACATACTTTTTTTAGAACAAAATTAGTTTTTCAGGGAAAAATAGTTTGTCTTTCAAGAACATGAGATTCAGTTAGTGGGGGTCGTATATGGGCCGCATCATCAAGTCGGGCCGAAGCCCAAGCCACCTTCGTTGCTGCTGCTCAAAAAAAAACCCATCCTAGCTCCCGAAGCCAGCCGACGCTCTCGCCGCGAGGGTTTTGCCGTCGACCTCGCCGCCCAATCCGCCTCCCTTGGTCACCGCCGTTCCCGCGCAGCTCCCCTCCCCCCACCCCCCACCCCCCCTTCCGGCTGGCGCCGCCCTTCCTGGTTCGTCGGCTCCTCCGAGGTACGGATCTGGGTCCATGACCTTCCCTTCTCGAGCAACATTGGTTGAGTCAGCCGAGGCGATGTCGATTCTTGCACCATGTACTTGGATCTGTTGATGCACTTGGCACACTATGTATGAGCCTGGAATATCTGATATTCTAGAGTAAATGTCCTGGTTTAATTCTAGTAAAACATGTTCATTAGTGCCTAGGATTTGTCCTTCCAGATATGAGTTCAGTTCAGCAGGTGGATGTTTAATTGGTATATTTGTACACTGTAATTAGGGCTTTTACATTGGGTGATTGTTCCAAGATAAGCATGTACAGTAGTAATTAAGTGACTGTTCCAAGAGTAGCACATAAATCTTTCAACATCCCCTAAAAAACATAAATCTTTCAACAGATATAAAAAAGTTCAATGTTTCACCGATGTTTCCTTTTACATTAGTTCTTGAGGACAGCTATTATTTGGTTATCTTGTTATGTTCCATTCTGATAATAGAATCTTCACTACAGTGCCTTCCGGGTCTTGAGACTGCCCAAGTTGTGCAACTGAGATACTCAATGGAGGATCTACCAGAGCCACTGCTTGGAGAGATCGTCAAGAGGGTTACCAAGACAAGTGATCTGAATTCTCTTTCCCTCGTGTCGAAGCAGCTCTGCACCGTTGAGGCAGAGCATAGGGATGCTATCCGTGTTGGCTGTGGACTCAACCCTTCTACAAAAGCCTTGGTATCGTTGTTCTCCCGGTTCCCCAATTTGGCGAAAGTAGAGATAAACTATTCTGGATGGTGGCCCAGTAACGGGAACCAGTTGAACAACCAAGGCCTCTGTGTTCTGTCATCTCACTGCCCCTCACTGTCCGATCTTTCTTTAAGCTTCTGCTCTTACATTGGTGACTCTGGTCTTGGTTATCTAGCTGATTGCAAAAAATTGAGGTCGCTCAGGCTGAACTGTGCACCAGCAGTAACTTCTACTGGCATTTTTCACGTGGCGGTTGGTTGCAGGCATCTTTCTGTTCTTCACCTTGTTGACTGTACGACAGTAGACAGCAGGGATTGGCTGGAGTACCTTGGGAGATATGGATCATTGGGAGAACTTGTTGTAAAGGATTGCAGTGGAATCAGCCAGTATGACCTCTTAAAGTTTGGCCCAGGCTGGGAGAATCTCCAAAAATTTGAGTTTGAGATTAATGGAAACTACTGGATGTCAGGGGCCTCTGATCCCTCCTACGTGTCTGGCTACCCATATAGGTATGACATCTGCTATGATAGCTTGAAGGATCTTAGGTTAGCTCATATTATAACCGAGCCAGAAACTGGACTTCGTTTTCTCCTGGGGAAGTGCAAAGCATTGGAGACGCTTTATCTAGAGTATGTGATTGGTCTAAAAGAGAATGAGATGATTGCGCTATTCCAGAGGTGCAGCAACCTTAAAACCATCTCACTTCGGTTCATGCCTCTGCGGTGTGAAGATTATTGGTTTAGGACGCCATTGACTGATGTTAGCCTTAAGGCTCTAGCTCTCAGCTGCCCTATGCTTGAGGTTGTAGAGCTCACATTCACACTTTGCGAACCCATGTATCCAACAGAAATAGGTTTCACGCAAGAGGGTATTGTGTCGCTCGTCCAATCTTGTCCAGTTCGCACTCTTTTGCTAAATGGTGCCAGCATTTTGTATGACGAGGGGTTGAAGTGCCTCTCATCCTCACAGTTCCTGGAGAATCTTGAGCTCGTGGATTGCAGGTCTATAACCGATGCTGGTATGAACTTCATTACACTGGCTCCTTGCTTGAGCAATCTCACCCTCCGCAAATGCAAGAAAGTGACAGATAATGGAATGGCTGAGCTGGCACGTTCACAGAAGTTGGAGTCACTAACCGTTATAGGCTGCTGTCAGATCTCTCAGGAGGGTGTGCAAGGGGCTGCCAAATCAGTTCACTACTCTGCAGAGACTGAAAGCCACGACAGTCTAAAAGGAATGAACATGGACAGGGACATGAACAGGAAAAGACGCCGGTCGCCCTGAATCCAATCTTTGGCTATTAATTTGTGTTTGCTATATATCAGCAGAAGCTTGAAAACACAAAACTATGAAAGTAAATTCGGTGGACAGGTCCACCTGCCATTTCCATGCAATAAGTTTCAATTGGCTTTGTTGGATGTTCTAGACTTGTTTCGGTAATGCGAGCTCTGTTTTAGGAATTTGCCAGAATTCTTGTGTATGTTATGACAGTAGCTTCGATTTGTAATCTCTTTTTGCATTGCTCATATCTGTAAGGTCTACTTCCTTTGACTGAGTGCTCCAAACATCAACCTATTATTCTTATACCTTTTGCCTGCTTGTGCAACATTTAAGTTTCAGGCGTCAGTGAGTGCATTAAACCTGAAGATTGCATCTGCTAACCATTTCTGTACAGTGGTTTCTGCATTAGACGGGAAATTTCATTACTTATCGACACAACACATGTGCACATATGAAACAAGGCAAAGAGATTACGAACAAGGAACACATGCTTTTTTCTTAGACTAAACATACATGGTAATAGTTCTGCGCAAAATGGCAGAGAAAACAGATATGGTATTGCATCTCAGCCTATCACTTGATGTAATCTAGTTCTCGTGTAAGGTTGTAAGGGCATCATGTGAGCTGCTGGCTACAATGGCGGCAGCGCCCCGCATGAGATTAAAGTTGGTGCGTGGGGATAATTGCCCTTTGGGTTCTCATCTGCAGGATTTCATTCACAGCAGAGAACCTGGTAGAGAAGATCTGCGAGACATCAGACAGATACATGCTGATGCATGACATTTGTAACACTGGAATCGGTAAGATGCTGATGCTTATAGCCTGCAATCAGTACAAAAGGAAAGTTAGATGATGATGTTTCAGATCACACACACCAAATCACTGTCGTGTTTTATTCTTCTTCTTCATTTGTAAGATCAACATGTTACTGTGTTTACCTGATGCTTTTGGTTAAACTGTTCACTATCTTCGTCGGGAATATCCTATTGGACAATACAGAAAGCCACCATCAAGCAAATACATTGGGAAATAGATAACAAGAGAAGCAAATTCAAGCAGCTATAAAATTCTGGAATTGCCATGACCACGGTTCAGAAACAAGTGCTGGGTTTCAGAAATCAAAATTGAGATCCATAAATGATCTGGCATGTTTTTTTAAAGATGGTGCTGGTTTATGACACCATTTGATCCTCATCGTTTGCAATGATGTGTATCTGTACTAGTTAGACATCAAATTAAACTTGAACAGCCCATGTGTAAAAATTTAAAAAATGAAAAATAAATAGACCGACCCAGTAATTCCTCAAGTATGCGGCCTGATTCTAGTTACAGTGTCAAGTACAGTACAGTTACAATGTTAAGTATACAATACATAACCGATGTGTACTTTAACAAGTATGCACGGCTGAGGAGCTCCGGCAACGCCTGCTGCTGACAGCTACTCCGGCACGAGCCTCCTGTCTTTCTCCCGGCCGTCCGTCCATCACCACGCCTTGCTCTCCCTGCCAGCCATCGATGGCCCTGCCTTGTTCGAAGCCAAAAAAAATAAAATTAGTGCTCTAAAATGCATCTTCTTGAGTCCTGAATTTTGTTTTTTTAATGTCCAGCCCCGCCAAGGATGTCTTTTCAAGGTGAAATTTTGCACGATGTTAGAACATTTGTTGGTGTTCAGCAAAAAACAATCAGATTTTTTAAATAATTTTTCACTATTTTTTATTAATTCACTGCTCATGTGAGTGTATTTGAGCTCGGGACAGATAATCCATGTCCGGAATGAAGACGTTTGTTCTTATTTATCATAAACTGTGAACCTACGCAGTAATATATCTACGAAAAAATTTCAATCTCTCGCTTAATGCACAAACTTAAACTTATTCTAATTTTAAAGTTAAACAAAGTCTTATCATTTGCGAACAGTGAGTTTAATTCTTCAATGTTACAATAAGTTAAACCGTTCGAGTGTTAAATTAATACGAAACCCAAATGACCTTTTTCTGGAATGAGGCACAAATTACATCAGTGTTATATCTCGCTTACTGCGAGACACACGGTAGCCTCACCTACAGGGATCGCTGAAGTTGGCCGACCCAAGAAGCAGTTTTGGGAAGCATGTAAAGACCAATTGGTCGAACCTTCTCACCAGTTTCGGCTGGTTTTTGGTGCATGTTTTTCTTATTCTTCCTTTTTGTGGGTTTTCCATCCGGAAGTTTTTGGTTTTCTTACTTTCTTTAAATATGAAGAAATGATAAAAAGGAAATAGGCCGTCCTACCACTGCGTCGCTTGAGGCGAGTCGTCCATCTGTTTCTCTCTAGTTTTTTTTTTTGAGGATTTGTTTCTCCCTGGTTTTTTTTAGGTAATTTTGTTTCTCCCTAGATGCTCCCAACAAGAAACACACACATTTCGAGAATGCGGGCCTCATCATCAAGTCGGGCCAAGCCCGAGTTACCTAACAGGAAAAAGCGACTCACACGCCGCGAGGAAGGCGAGGGCAAATTTAACAATTTTAACACGTGGATGAAATCATTCCATAAAATGAACTGCCTTTAATTTTTTTTTACTCAGTTGATTTTTTTTAGTGGCGTCCGACAAGAAGACGTCACACCACACTGTGCAGTGCCTCACAGATAGGCGCTACACGTCTGGCCTGCGGCGCACCTCGTGTGATCCGAAAATTACAAAGTCAGTGTGCAACGTCTGAGAGGTAGACGCCACACTATACAGTGTAGCGCCTAGCCTCTAGGCGACTAGAGGCTAGGCGCTACACTGTATAGTGTGGCGCCTAGCTATTAGGTGGTGCACGTTGATTTAGTAATTTTTAAACAGTCCGGGGTGCGACGCTGGCCAGACATGTAGCGCCTATCTATGAGACGTCAGTGTAGTGTGGCGCCTTCGTGTCAGGCGTCACTAAAAAAGGTCAGCTGAGTGAATTTTTTTTAAAAGCAGTTTATTTTGTGAAATGATTTCATCCACGTGTCAAAATTGTCAAATTAACCGAAGGCGAGGGTTGGGACCTCGCAGCGGAGGTTTCCCCACCCGTTCCAACCCTTGGTCGCCGCCGTTTGCGCCCAGCTCTTCCCTCCCTGCCGGCGCCGCCCTTTCTCTTGGTCGCTGCTTCCTCCGAGGTAAGGATTTGGGCTCCATTCCCTTCCCTTCTCAAGCAACATTGGTTGAGCCAGCCGAGGCGATGTTTGCGCGCGCTCCGTTCTTCCACCTTGTACTTGGCTCTGCCGATGCAGTTAGCCCACCGCGTATGGGCCTGGAATATCTCTGAAATTCTAGAGGAAATAACCTGTTTTTTTTTTCCTAATATGATTAAAACCTGTCCTGGAGTGTCTAGAAATCGCTATCTTCATCTGACTGGCTAGGTCCTTCCAGATGTGTGTTCAGTTCAGCAGGTGGATGTTTGATTATCTCGTGGACTTTGCTGTTCTAATTGGTGTGTTTTCAGACTATCCCCTCCCCACACCCCCACCCAGCAGCAATTTCATATGTTAGGTCGTTTGATTAATTTTTCCTTGTAATATTTTTTGTTCCATGATTTGGGTGCAAATATTAGCCTGCAGTTGGTTACCATTCACTGTCAAGATAAGCGCATGAATCTTTCAAACTATAGTATTGAAAAGCTCAATTTTTCACTGATGTTTCCTTTTACAATAGCTCTTACAGCTGTTATTTGGCTATATCTTGTTCTGTTCCATTCTGACTATAGAATCTTTGCTTCAGTGCCTGCTGGGTCTTGAGACTGCCCAAGTTGTGCAGCTGAGATACTCAATGGAGGATCTCCCAGAGCCACTGCTTGCAGAGGTCGTCAAGAGGATTACTAAGGCAAGTGATCTTAATTCTCTTCCCCTCGTGTCGAAGCAGCTCTGCACCGTAGAGGCGGAGCACAGGGATGCTATCTGTGTTGGCTGTGGACTCGACCCTTCTACAGAAGCCTTGGTGTCGCTCTTCTCCCGGTTCCTCAATTTGGCAAAAGTAGAGATCAACTATTCTGGATGGAAGCCCAGCAACGGGGACCAGCTGAACAACCAAGGCCTTCGTGTTCTATCTTCTCACTGCCCCTTGCTGTCCGATCTTGCTTTAAGCTTCTGCTCATACATCGATGACTCTGGTCTTGGTTACCTAGCTGAGTGCAAAAAATTGAGGTCCCTCAGGCTGGACCATGCATCAGCAGTCACTTCTACTGGGATTTTTCGGGTGGTGGTTGGTTGCAGGTATCTTTCGGTTCTCCACCTTGTTTTTGACGCGTGGTTCTCCACCTTGTTGACTATACGGCAGTAAACAATGGGGAGTGGCTGGAGTACCTTGGGAGGTATGGATCACTGGGGGAACTTGTTGTAAAGGATTGCGATGGAATCAGCCAGTATGACCTTTTAAAGTTTGGCCCAGGATGGTCGAATCTCCAAAAGTTTGAGTTTGAGATTAATGGAAATTACTGGATGGCAGGGGCCAGTGATCCCTCCTTTGTGTCTGGCTATCCATACAGCTATGACATCTGCTGTGATAATTTGAAGGATCTTAGGTTGGCTCATATTATAACAGAGCCAGAAATTGGACTTCGTTTTCTCCTGGGGAAGTGCAAAGCATTGGAGACACTTTACCTGGAGTATGTTATTGGTCTAAAAGAGAATGAGATGATTGCACTATTTCAGAGGTGCAACAACCTCAAAACAATCTCACTTCGGCTCATGCCTCTGCATTGTGAAGGTTATGAGTATAGGACGCCATTGACTGATGTTAGCCTTAAGGCTCTAGCTCTCAGTTGCCCTATGCTTCAGGCTGTTGAGCTCACATTCACATTTTGCGAACCCGATTGGCCTACTGAAATAGGTTTCACACAAGAGGGCATTGTGGCGCTCATCCAATCTTGTCCAATTCGTGCTCTTTTGCTAAATGGTGCCAGCATTTTGTATGACGAGGGGATGGAGGGCCTCTCATCCGCACAGTTCCTGGAGACACTTGAGCTCGTGGATTGCATGTCTGTAACTGATGCTGGTATTAGTCACATTATTCAAGCTCCTTGCATGAGTAGTCTCATCCTCCGCAAATGTGAGAACGTGACAGATCGTGGAATGGCTGAGCTGGCACGTTCACAGAAGTTGGAGTCCCTGACCGTTATAGGCTGCCGCCAGATCTCTCAGGAAGGTGTGCATGGTGCTGCCAAATCAGTTTGCTACTTGGCAGAGATTGAAAGCCACGACAGTCTAAAAGGAATGAACATGAACAGGAACAGGAAAAGACGTCGATCGCCCTGAATCCCGTCTTTGGCTATTAATTCGTGTTTGTTATATATCAGCAGAAGTTTGAAACCGCAAATCTATTCAAGTAAACTGGGAGGACAGGTGCACCTGCTATTTCCTTGCGACAAGTACCAATTGGCTTCGCATGTTCTAGACAGACTTCTTGCTTATGTGATGACAGTAGCTTCGATTTGTAATATCATTGCTTTGCTCCTATTTGTAAGGTCTGCTTCCTCTGATTGAGATCTCCGAACATTGCAAAATTTTATTCTTATAGCTTCAGTGTTTGGATTTCAAAAGGAGATCAGGCTATTTTGGCTGCTTGTGCAATATTTAAGGTTCGGGCGTCATCGAGTGCACTAAACCTTGAAATTCGATCTGCTAACCGTTTCTTTACTACAGTTTCTGCGCTAGATGGGATTTTTCATAACTTATGGACACAACACATGTGCACAATATGAAACAAAGCAAAGAGGTTACGAACAAAGAAGAATGCCTTCTTACAGTGAACATACATGCATGTACATGGTGATAGTTTTGTGCAAAACGGCAGAGAAAACATATATGGTATTGCATCTCAGCCTATCACTTGTGTAGTGTAAAAAAGGCACCATGAAGCGAACACATTGAGAACTAAATAACAGGAGAAGCAAACACATGCCGCAGGGTAAATAAAGGCTCCATTGAAGAGAAGAATCTTTGTGAAGGAAAAATGATCTCACTCGAGAGATTTCATGATTACCTGATGCATACTAGTGTCATGGTTAAACTGTTCCATATCGTCGTCAGGGATATATCATGTAGAGTAGGACAATTCAGAAAGCCAGCATCAGGCAAAGACATCCAGGGTTTGAAAATTTCACAATGGTCTTTGGGTCAAAGTCTGAGCAGCTCAAGAGAAACTGTGTGGAGTTCAGATTTTGAGCAATGATACCCGGTTCTTTCGGGTGCTGGTGCAACCCTTCAGGTTATGCATCACCATTCAGGTCATAAGTTCTTGTTTTTCTTAGATTTAATCATCTTTATAAGCTTGTCTGCTTCTGTAATCAGGGGCTGGTATCTCGCAAATAAATAAAGTGTTTCCCTTGCTGTGTTTTGGGCTTAATAGAATGCAGAGTTTGAAGTTTGCCTCCCAAAAAAGTTCGTCAGGTGTCACTGAGCACACTGAAGCTGGGGACGAAATCTGCACACAGTTAGTTTCCAAACAGGGGTCGAGCTGCACAAATCAAACAAGTGTTGTGGACAGAGCTGCAAGTTCCTTATTATTACCAGAACTGATCGAAACAAGCAGAGCGGAGCTGCAAATAGAGAACCAAGGCGTTTTCTTGTTTTTCTTTTTTCTTTTTGTGGGCACACTGTAAACCTACGTTACATGAAAGAAGGCAAATTCTGTGAAAAATGGCAAAAAGGCAGATAGAGATGGGCTCGCATTTTAGCCTCTCACGTAGTGCACAAAGTTGAACTTTACTCTCTTTTTTGGGAGGAAACTTTACTCTGTTTTAAACAAAATTCAAACAGACATGTATTGTTTGTGCACAGCGAGTCTAATTATTCAATGTTACACCGCCATCCTGCGGTCTATTTTCAGCAAATTCTATCCCTTTTTTTGCGAGTAAGATAATTCTACCCCTGCAAAAGACTAACCTGACTCCCGTTGACTTCCTCTTTTTATTCTTCCTTGATGGCCTCTGTTTTTTCTCTAGGTGATTCTCACCCTGTACATTGAGTTGGCGTTGAGATAAAATTTTCCGCACAGTTACAGTAAAAAAAGTCGATGTTACAATAATTTTTTAGGATTTGGAAAAATGTTCGTGAATTCAAAAAGATGTTCACTAATTCAAAAATTGCTCATATTTGTGATTTTTTAAAATGTTTACGGATTTGAAAATTACTTGTGATTTTGAAAAATGTTCAGGGATTTGAAAAATATTGTGATTTTAAAAAATGCTCACGAATTTGAAAATGTTCATGATTCTAAAAAAAATACAAATTCAAAAAGAATCACAAATTCAAAAAATGTTTGGGAACTTAAAAAAAGTTCATGAATTCAAAAAATGTTTATGATTTCGAAGCACATTTGCAAATTTGAGAAAATGTTCATGAACTCAAAAATTGTTTGTCGTTTTGGAAAATGTTAATGTATTTGAATAATGTTTGTGATTTTAAAAGATGTTCACGAATTAGAGGATGGAGCGGCGCCCACACTAGAGGATGGAGCGGCTGCTTGAGCAAGGGAGCCTGCAACAACACCAACAACAGGAGAGATGGAGTAGCCGCAGGGGAGAGGTGGAGCAAGCGTGTGCTGCACGGTTGCCGATTATGGGAAACGTTCATGTCGTTGCCGATTAGAGTGAACGATTCTTTGGATCCTTAGCATCGGTGACTTCCTGTCTACGGAATAGGCTGACTCTAAATTCCAGGTAGAGGAGGAGCAGCGGCAGTGGCGCGCCACCGGCTCGTCTTGGACGCCTCATGCCCGCGCCGTTGGGATCTAGAGGGACTTATTTGTATTTTTTGTTGTTTCTGGGTCTCCTTATAAGGATGAGTCTTTAATATAAACTAGATGATACCCCACATGTTGCTACGGGGATTGATTTGAATACTTTTTGATGAAATTTAAATGAAAATTTAAATAGATATAATATATTGTATTTCTCATGCATGTCAAGAGAAATATTATTTAAATGATTTAAGTTGGGAAGTTGAGCATGTTGAGAGGTCATATAAATAGCAATTCTCATGCATGTTAAAAGAAATAATTAGTGGATGATGAGATGACATGTATGCATGTCGAGAGAGTTGAGATAATGGGGATCAACTATTTAAGAATAGAAGATATATACATCCCACACAACCAAAAGGATGCCGGTAAGTCCTGAACATTCGGGATTTGACCATGGGAAAACGAACTTTTTTGTGACAATTTATATTTACTGACCATTGCAACTTTAGTTGATAAGCATGACAAATCCGCTCTCAATTTGTTTTTGTCAGAAAATTATCGTGCTTGCCAACAAATTTAGTTGTCTTCACGTCAACTCAAATTGCCATCCAAAATGTTCGAATTGCCAAGGTCAAATCCCGAACGGTTGAGATTTTTCAATGAATTTTTTTAAATTAAAGCAAAACGAAAATGAAATATGGGCCGCATCATGAAGTCGGGCCCAAGCCCAAGCCACCTTCACTGCGGCTGAAGTAGTACTAAAATTCCTCATTCGAGCTGCCGAATCCGACGCTCCACTCACCGTCGCAAGGGTTTCGCCGTCGACCTCGCCGCGGGGGTTTCTCCGCCCAATCCACCGCCCTCGGTCACCGCCGTCCCTGCTCAGTTCTTCCCTCCGGCCGGCCGTGCTAACGGCGCCTCCCTCGCTGCTTCCTCCGAGGTACGGATTTGGGTCCATTCCCTTTCCTTCTCGAGCAACATTGGCTCTTTCCACTTGAGTTCTTCCACTATGTACTTGAATCTTGATGCACCTAGCCCACTACACATGAGCCTGGAATAACTGTGTAGCTTTGCGAGGAAATGGCCTGGTTTAATTTCTAAGCAAAACCTATTCTGGATTGTTATCTTCATCTGATTGCTTGGGCCCATCCAGATCTGTGTTCAGTTCAGCAGGTGGATGTTTAGTTATGTGGTGAACTTGTAGTAGTTCCAATTGGTGTATTTCTAGACTATCCTCTCTCTCCCCACTGATGCTCAGCTATGGGCTAGCAATTTCAGTTCCATATGTAGGGCGGTATATGTTAATTTGATTTTTCTTATAACCTTTTCTTGTTCCATGATATGGATGCATACATCAGGCTGCAACTCATTAACACTCGTTGCGAAGATAAGCGCATGAATCTTTCAACTTAGTATTAAAAAGTTCAATTTTTCACTGATGTTCCTTTTACATTAGCTCTTACAGTTGTCATTTGGTTATCTTGCTGTGTTCCATTCTGACAATGAATCTTTACTTCAGCTCCTGCCGAACCTTGAGATTGCCCAGGTTGTGCAGCTGAGACACTCGATGGAGGATATCCCAGAGCCACTGCTTGCAGAGATCGTCAAGAGGATTACCAAGACAAGTGATCTTAATTCTCTTTCCCTCGTGTCGAAGCAGCTCTGCACCGTTGAGGCGGAGCACAGGGATGCTATCCGCGTTGGCTGTGGACTCAACCCTTCTGCAGAAGCCTTGGTATCGCTGTTCTCCCGGTTCCCCAATTTGGTGAAAGTTGAGATCAATTACTCTGGGTGGAAGACTAGTAACCGGGATCAGTTGAACAACCAAGGCCTCCTTGTTCTATCATCACACTGCCCCTCGCTATCTGATCTTGCTTTAAGCTTATGCTCATACATCGATGACGCTGGTCTTGGTTATCTAGCTGAGTGCAAAAATTTGAAGTCCCTCAGGCTGGACCGTGCACCAGCAGTCACTTCTACTGGGATTTTTCAAGTGGCGGTTGGTTGCAGGTATCTTTCGGTTCTCCACCTTGTTGACTGTACGGCAGTAGACAACGGGGAGTGGCTGGAGTACCTTGGGAGGTATGGAGCACTGGGGGAACTTGTTGTAAAGGAATGTGATGGAATCAGCCAGTATGACCTCTTAAAGTTTGGCCCAGGGTGGACGAGTCTCCAAAAGTTTGAGTTTGAGATTAATGGAAATTACTGGATGCCAGGGGCCTCTGACCCCTCCTACGTGTCTGGCTACCCATATAGTTATGACATCTGCTGTGATGGCTTGAAGGATCTTAGGCTGGCTCATATTATAACCGAGCCAGAAACTGGGCTTCGTTTTCCTCCTGGCGAAGTGCAAAGCATTGGAGACACTTTACCTGGACTATGTTATTGGTCTAAAAGAGAATGAGATGATTGCACTATTCCAGAGGTGCAGCAAGCTTAAAACGATCTCACTTAAGCTTATGCCTCTGAGATGTGAAGATTATGAGTTTAGGACGCCATTGACTGATGTTAGCCTAAAGGCTCTAGCTATCAGCTGCCCTATGCTTCAGGTTGTTGAGCTCACATTCGCATT